ACTATCTTTGCTCGAGACTGCTGGCAATATTTGTGGTATTAAGTTTATAGCTTGCGCTTTTGCCTGAAACGTTTTGCAGCTAATTCCAGCCCTTGCAGCCAAAGCGAAGTGGAGCATCTCCCCAAGACCTCTAGTGTTTTATCCTCCCTGGCTCTTCCTTCTCCACAGGATGGGTCCAGTGCCCCTCTTTTTAAGCCCGCTATACTGCTGTGCAGGGGAGGATTCCCTGTGCTGCAACCAGGCTTTTCCTCTTGTTGCAGCATGCTTCTCAGTCTGGCAGACCTTCCCAAGGGAGCACAGGGGCCTCTTTGAGGACAGTCAGGGCATCAGGTGTGTGCTTGGGGGAGGGAGATGGTTGTCGCTAGAAAAATCCCCTTCTCCCTTGTGGATCAACAGAGCAGACTTCTTTTCTGTAGGTAGGAATTGTGCTGCTAAGCTGCAGAACTGTACTTGCTGCAAGCACTTCCTTTCCTCCCTGGCCTTTACTTTGCTTAAAACACTGCATTCAGACCTCAGCTTCTTCCAGGACAAGTCCTGCTCTGCACATGTTTTATAGTGTGTTTTCCCTTTGCTGTATGCATTGCCCTGGTGACATCCACTTAAAGCATGAGGAGCAGGAAGGGAAGGTCACTTGAAACAGCTATTTGAGGCTGAGGTCTCTGATGAGCATAAGGACCGGGGTAGTTGGAGGACCTTGGGATGCACCGTGTCTGTCTGGAGGAAAGCAAGGGAGATAACTGTATTGCAAGCAGAGCTGCTCACTGCCTGGCAGAATCAGTCCCCCTTGAGGAAGGGCCTGTATGCAGGTTAATGGGGCAGGAGCTCTGTGATGGCTTGCTATGTCTGTGCCGATTTTCAAGTCACAGCTGCAAAGAGCGTCATGCCCCAGCTAACCTCTTTTCCCACAGAAGGAGCGGAACCAGCAGCATAGGCCACGGGGAAGTCCTGCTTCCTCCCTCTGGCTTGCAGCCTCATCATCAAGGTGCTCAGGCTCTTAGGGTTGAGCCCGGCTCTGGGCACCCAGCTGAGTGCACACAGCATGGTGTGGAGGATGAGCCCCAGGAGGCAGGTGCCGCAGGGGCTGTATCGTGGGGGCGCGCGCTGGAGCTGGCTGCTCCCCGAGGGGGCCGGCTCGCAAGGCTGTGGCTGTGGCAGGGGGGTCTGGTGGCGAATATCCCACAGATGTGCCAGCTGCCCTAGGTGCCTTCTGGGGGAGATGGCTGGCACCCTTGGCATGCAAAGGAGTGAGGAGCACTGTTGGTCTGTGGAGAAGGAAGCCCTGATGCACCTAGGTGAGGAGGCTTGGGCCTCCTCCATGGGGCTGGTGTGAGGAACTGTAGCACCATGAAGCCCTGGAGCTGCGGGATGTTGTTTCTCACCATCACAAGGGGAGAGAGCCATGTCCAGGGCCTTAGGTCTCTTTTCCTCTGGACTGTGAAGGACAGAAGATACCAAGGCCTGCAATTTCCATTTGGCTAAAGCCAACTAGTATAACTCTTTCTTTTATGGGGTAGCAACCTCAGAAGATGGGGAAACTGTGAGTTTGCATGTAGTAAGTGCAGAAACAGGATCCGCTCAGACTCTCCTAGTGTTCAGCTGCAGATCAGGCAGAGCAGTCCTCACCTGGCTAGGACAGGGTCCAGCTAGCATCCTACTGAGTTGATGGACTCCAGAGGAAGATCTTTGGATGAAGAATACTAAGTAGGCACTCTTGATCACACCTGCAGAGTTGGTCACCAAGTTTCTCCTTAGTTCCCTAATTCATACTGTAACCCTGCAAGAAGCTGAACATTTTGGTGGATGTGACCCAAAGTGATGTTACAGACAACACACTTTTTTTCTAGCCTGCTGCTGGATGTGCATGTAGAGGTTGGGGAACTGGGAGGGAGAGGGAATAGAGGCTCTTGTTTTTCCTTGCAAAGTCTCTAGGCCCTTCCACAGACCTGTAGCATCCGTATCTCCATATGGAGCCCCTTGTGCCATCCATTGGGCAGGAAGCTGCATGCCCTAAGGATGGTGCTAACTGACTCTGTGCTGCTTGGCTGGGCAGTAAGACACAGTGACTGACCTGATGAAGCAGCAGTGTGTCTTGAGCTTATGCTACAGCTTTTCCGTTACTAGGTGTTCTGCCTAGGTTACTGGAGAGGTCAGATAATCTTATCTCTAGTTCACCTGGGCTTTAGAAAAATTTGAGACTGTCTGTGAAATATGGTTTAAATTATCCGTAGTTTCTTTTGAACTCGGTGTTTATTTTGAATGCACAATGATTTGTATAAATAATGATTATCGTACATTCATGAGCAACATGATCGTATGATCCTCATTTCTTTCAGAAAGAAAACTGTGAGGGAATGTAAAACATGCAGTAATGAAGTTGGTTTGGTCTTTGCAAAGGAAAATCATACTTCACTGATCTGTTGCAAGTCTTTCAGCACATCAGTAAATGAATAGCTAATAGGTAGCCAGCTTGTGCAGCTTGTTCAGAAACCTCTGTAATTCTTCATTTAAGAAAAAAAAAAAAGAAAATTAACCATGGGAGCAAATGTAGAGTCATGGATCAAAAACTGGCTAAGCGTTCAGAAACAAAGCACAAGAATGATTGAGCAGTTCCCAGTGTAATAAAAGCAGGAGGACAAGGTAGCTTGTTATCAATGACCTGGAAAATATGATGATGAGTAATGAGGTACCCCAAATCTGTGAATAGCCTGGAGTTGTTTAGAGTTGTTAAGGTGAAGCAGCTCCAAAGTGGCACTGTGGTGTAACATTAAGTAACAAAAGGAGAGAAGGAAGTTACTGTGAATAAATGCAAAGCCTGGTATATTGGAAGGAATGATTTGTTCTTGGACATTTATAGTTTCTAAATTAGTTAAAACTACTCAGGGCGATGTTGTTGCAGACCAGTTGATGAAGACACTTCTCAATATGCAAGTATGCAATCGTAAAAATAAATAATGCTCAGGTGCCTGAGGAATAGCACAGAAAGAAATACTGAGAGCATCAGAATGCTATTATAGATGTCAAGGTTATTTCTTTATCCAGGACATCATGTCAGTTTTGGATACCCACCCGTAGGGTCAAAAGAGAGCAGAGAGACAATTTCCAAGGGACAGCAGTGTGAGTGGTTAGCTCCTCTTCCTTACCTCATTCTTGTATTTCCCTCCAGCCTGTCTCCTTTCATCAGTGCTTCTAAAGGAGTTACCACAGGATATGTTGACTGCAAGGAAAAGTTCTTTGTGCCACACTGGTGGTGTCATCCAAGGCGGTGTCTTGGCACTGTGTCTAGCCAGGAGTGTCCCTTCCCTGATGTGGCAGGAGATGTTACTGTGATTGCTGAGTCTTACCCTGCTGTTTGGTTGCAGCTTCCCATGAACCCGGTTGTCATTTCTGTTCCTTTTTTTTCCTCTCCTCTCCTGCTTTTTCATTCCCTTTTTTTTGTTCCTGGCAGCTGCCAGCTGCTGTCTGATGCTTAACTTGTGAATATCTCTTAGAAGGCTGCTTGGTATCTTCTCCCAATCAACTGCTCTGCTACCCCTCTTAATTGCTCAGCCAAGCTATTACTTGTTGCTGTGCCCTTTTTCCTCAGTGCTTTAGCCAGTTTGTGTTCATGGAAAGGATCACTTCTAGGTTGAGCTCTAGGACACCACAGCTAACATTTTGGTGGTCATTATCCAAACAGCATTGTGCTGTAATGCTGATAAATCTCTGCAGCTGAGTGAGAGATGCCAGGGTACACCAGTGGGCTAGAAAGAAGAGCTCCAGACCCTCTCTCCTGTGCTGATCTAATCTGTGTTAGAAGAGCAAGGCTGGTGGGGAAAGGAGCCTCTTTTGGAGGACAAGAGGTCATGGTGGTGGCTTTCCTGGGTTTTGGGTGGGTGGCAGCTCCTTTTTGGTTGACCCACCAGAATGGCCTTTTGGGCCAGGTAAGCCAGGTAAGCCACCCCTGAATGTTCCACAGAGTTGGTGCAGTGCCATGCAGCCGTTGTGTGGCACGCTCTCACCTGGGTCATGAAGGATTTGGATGGTAGGTGCTGGATAAGAGCAGTTGTTCGGGCGTCTGAAGCTCAGAGCCTTCTTATTTGTTACTGCTTCTTTCTTCAGAACCTAAAGGGGTTTCTATCTCCTGTTCCATAAAGCATTTTTTTTTCTGTTGATCTGTCATTTCTAGACCATCCAGCGGTGCTTGATTTCTATTTGATCATTGTTAGCATGATCTCCTCTGCCTCTCTGCAGAGTAGCTCCATGTGAAAGAAAAGCTCCCCATCCTTAAGCTGTGAAATGACTGTACTGGCTGCAGCTCATCTGGGTTTCTTTTACCATTTTGGAGACAGTGCCAGAATAAGATTTTTGACTGGCTAAATAGTAGATCCTAAGCATCTCTTTGCCCAGTGTGTGTTTGCATCTGAACACATGCAAGCCAGAGGAAGGAAAGAAAACAAGCAGTAGGTGGGACCAGCTTCTGATGGGGGCTCTGGGAGGTTGGGGCTGAGGCTGCAATGAGCAGATCGTGGTGATTCAGCCTAATAAAGCTACTGGCGCTCAGCCAGGCAAAGGAAATTATGGGATCATGATGCAGCAACTGTCCCACAGCAGTTTGTTTCGTCATCCAGCCGTGACTTAACACCTCCCTATACTTTTTTCTGTGACTAAATGTTCTTGCTGACAAGGAAAAAGGGGCCTGAGACACCAAGCCTTCAGAAGGAATCCATAAGAAAGGGGCACACCTAAATGTGAGCTGAGGGGTAGGAGAGCCAGAAAGGGAGGTTTGGGACCCTGCATAGTAGGGTTCCAAATAGTGACTGAAACACTTCCCAGACTCAGCTGGCTTCTTCAGAGACAGTTGTTCTTGGGTGCAGATACCCAGAGAGGCCTAGGAGAGCTGGAGATAGCAGGTTACGTTGATCCCTTGAGCTGCTTTGCTGATATCTCTGAACTCTAGCCGGACTGCAGCCCCATGTGCCTGGTGTGCACCTAACCCAACCTCTCTCTGTTCCCCAGGGAAGACGATGAAGCTGTAGAGATGCTTCCCTACGTGATTGCCACCCTGGGCTCAGCAGGGGCCGCCTGCAAATCCTCCACCTGCAACAACAGCACCAAGGATTACTGCTACAGTGCTCGCATCCGCAGCACTGTGCTGCAGGGGCTGCCTTTTGGTGGGGTGCCCACTGTATTAGCCCTCGACTTCATGTGCTTTCTTGTAAGTTTTCCTTCCACTGCTTCAGTGCCTTCTCCCCTACCATTGCTACCGTGCTAGAGGAACAGAGGCGGGTATGGGCAGGGGGAGCACCCAGAGTTATGTGCTCAGCTCACAATTAATCATGAAGGGAGGTAATTAATCATGAAGGGAGGACTGTGCCTGGTGGTTACAGCAAGGGGGTCTAAGACTCTGTTCCTGACTTTGCTGCTGACTGGCTCTGTGGCCCTGACCATGTCCTTTAGCCACTCTTGGCATTGATTTTACTCTAATACTGCTGCACACAGCCCACAGAAGGGAGATGTGAACTAGCTTTCCTGAGGACATCTCAGAACTCCAGTTTATGGGGTGAAGTCCCCACAGCTTTACCTACCCAAAAGTTCTGCTGGTTACTCCTTAGGAGCTGCAGAACTACAGACATTGAAGTCATAATCTCACTTCCTTGGGACCTGGGACCTAACCCTCTTGCTCATCTTGAAGTCATTGAGTGTTGTGTCCTGGATCTCTGCCTCCAACAGCCACCTCCTTCATCCAAACATCCTACATCCATCCTGCACTCTTAGTTTGCTCCCAGCAGAGGAGCCCCGTCCCCTCCTTACCCTACTGTTCCAATGGCTCAGTGCTCAGGACAAGGCAAAACTGGGCAACTCCTGCCCGTAATTCTGCATTCACTGTCTTCCAGGCACTGTTGTTTGTCTTCTCAATTCTTCGTAAAGTTGCTTGGGACTATGGACGTCTGGCCCTGGTGACTGATGCTGACAGGTAAGCTTGGGAGAGGGGCAGAAGGGTGAATGAAACACAAGTGGTACCATTCCTTGCTCAGAAGCAGGATGGCCAAACTGCCTTATGCGTGCAGAGACCCTCATGCCAGTTGTGTCCCTGGAGCTCCCAGAATACACAAAAAAATCTTCTAACCAGCTTTTGTTGCCGCACCCCCGTGGTGAGAAGCTCTCCCTGGCTGCAGGTCATACAGTGACTGGGGTGGGCAGGGTGCTTTGCGGGGCTCCTGCCCTGCAGAGGCTGAAATGGTCGGAGGAGGAAGAGAGGATGGAGGGG